CTGGAGATTGACGACTGGTTGGCCATTGATGCCTGTCACTTCATGTCAGGAACCCGTGGCATTGCCGAGTCCGTTTCTGGATTGTCGCAGAACTTGATGTGAGTGTGAGTGTGAGTGTGGATGTAGATGTGGTCGTTCCGTTGCCTTGGGCGCTTTGTTTGATGCATTTAAAGCTCAGGTCAGACGAGGTCAAGTCTTAATCCGATCATGATCTGGTGATTCAACCATGAACGGCCTTTCCGTGTCTTGATTTACTAGTAGATCGCATTCCTCTCCCACATGCCATAAACTGGTGCGTTACCTTTGATTGTATGTATTTGCCCCTGAACGGAACTGAACAGCCCATCTGGTTGCTGGCACTCACTGGTGCGACTTTACCGCATCAAATCTCATTTCAGCAACTTCTTGACTTCTCGGGCCAGGTGACCCGTCCCGGAACGGAATGCAACATCAATCGACCATTTGCCATCCATCCGTAGCATCCATATCCGGCCATGCCGATTAATAACACAGACGTAGCCTTTTGCTCCAAGTGAAGAAAAAACCGTTGTGAACCCTGGATCCTTGCTCAATCTGGAGCTATCCCACCCCTGACTACGCGCGTGGCTTGCATTTGAAGAGCCATTCTGCGCCCATTGTGTCTTGTTGTCGTCGCATCAGAAGACTTTTAGACCCAATGATGAAAGGAAATCTTGATGGGCGGTCAGAGAACCTATTGGGGAATGTGCTCTACCGAGTCTATCTTGATCGAGGAGGTGGCTATCGAGAGATCTGCATTAATATAATTCGAAAGGCTGCTTTAAGGCATGTCTTAAGGTTATGGTTGGCATTAGCATCACCATCCTCAGCTTACTATTCCACAATCTGATTGGTGCGCGATCCACCAACTGCCCGAAATGTCATACTCATTTCCATATCCATTCGAATTGAGTGAAGGCGTTTCTATTTCGGCGCCCTGCAACGAGCGCTCAATCCCTGCTCCGCCCGACTCTTGCGCCCTCTGACCGTTTCCAGGACAGATCATCAGGTGGCTCGACCGCGTTCCTCTATTGTTTCTTGTCGATTGCATGCCTCCTTAAACATTCCTTCACCAAAGACTCGAATTCTGAAACAAACCAAGCTCGGAAAAAGGGGATCCCATCCACTTAGACTTGGATTGCCTCGTCACCTTTTGACCCTTGGATCCAAGCTTTTCGCTCATCTCACCGCCCTGTTCCTGGCCATATCCTTGTCTGTATCGATAAACTCCTGTTTGCGTGGTCTTCTCTAACTCGGATTTCGCCTTTGCGTGCCTTAACCCCCCTTCTCCACATCTTCCAGAACGATACTGCACTTGTGTTTCCAAGTTCGGCCCTGGACGCTGCTCTGGCATTGACCATCTTCACCTCTACACTTTCTTGCGAGACACATACATATTAAACCTCCCCCCCTCCCCCCCAAGTCTGCCCGTCATGTCAACTGCCGCTCAAGAAGAGTTTAACGACCTGGTCGCCAAGAACACATATCGCGAAACCCTCCACCCTGAGGACCGTGACGACCCCGATCTTAAGAACCACCAGGATCTTTCCGAAGAAGACGTTTTCCGTAACGCCCAGATCGATAACGCAATGCGCATGCCTACTGTCGATCGCCTCACCGGCGCTGGCGCCTCTGAGATCAAGCTCCCTCCTGTCTCTTTCGACAGCGGCCGCGCTACTGGCGTCAAGGGAGTCATTGCCGATGCGAGAAACTACGAGGCTGCCCGCAAGAACAAGTGGCGACACCGAGTCCGCACTGCCCGCAACAGCATCTTCGGTATTGAAGCTCCCGCTCCCGTCAAGAGCGATACCGAGAGCAGCGATGACGATGCGAAGAGCGCAAGTGATGCCGACGAGGAGGCTTTCCTTGCTGAGTGGCGCGAGAGCCGAAGACGTGAGCTTGAGAGCGAGGCCAGCCGATCTGTTAGAAATCGACGAACAAGTCCCAGTGTACGCATCTATGGCCGACTAGATGAGGTCGATGCTCTTGGCTACCTGGACGCCATTGAGAAGGTTGGAAGGGAAACAACTGTTGTCGTGTTTGTGTATGATCATGAGGTATGCTTTGATCCACCGTTCCTTTAACCAACATCATGCTAACTCGTCCAGTGTGAGGTCTCTGCTACCATCGAGTCAGCACTCATGCCCATTGTCAAGACCAACCCCGAGGTTCACTTCGTCAAGGTCCACTACGAAGAGATCGAATTTGACAACGCTGCCGTGCCCGCCATGCTTGGATATCGAAACCAAGGCGACCTGTTCGCCAACTTGACAGGCCTGATCGAGATGATCCCTGACGATGAGACCTTTGGCACCTCATCGTTAAAGCAACTGCTACAAAAACACACTATTCTATAATGTGCTGGGTCATGTCATCTTTATTATACCTTTACCACCTTAATGCGGCCACGTCTACGACACACAATCACTATATTATTCCCATGGGCATAACTCTAAGTTCATGTCTTTGATTACGATACCCAACCATGACGTTAAGTCTACCTCAGAGAGGAAGACACGCTTAAAATTTCTTATGTTTTACTGGCATTACGTTTCTTCGTTGGAATATGAATGCAACCGGAGGAAGAGCTAGAATACTGGACCTAGCTCACTTAGCTGAGAGAAGAGTGGACGAGCATAATGCAATGATATTGGAGCTTCTGGATAGAATTTGGACTTTTGCAATGCAGATAGAGATACCCTCCTACCTTTATGTGGACATGCAGACATTGGGGTACTTGGGATAGGTTAATCGTTATGGGAGAAAGCGATTGAATTCCCATAAAATATACCATTTATACTACCTCTCTTGAATTTCGAAATGCTGCTATTAGTGAGACCACTCTTTTGGTCTGGTGTGCCTAGGATTGGATGATATATGGAAGCATGGTAAGCCGGGAACAGTTACGGGCTGGGAATAGCAGCCCCTTATCAAGATCCTAAATCAAGACGTTAGCTTATACAAACGACGGGTTCTGATCCCTATTCTTCATCTGTCTATCCTCACGGAGGCGGTGCCGTTGGATAAAGCTGATATATATGCGATCTGGTGTTGTGACGCCTGCGTGAGCAGATTATCCAACCAGGGGTCCTATTCTTCCTGCAAAAAGGGTTACAGTAGGACGATTGGTCCAACCAAATGCATCTTACGTCATGCTACCAATATCGTATACGTATGAGAATAATATTCTGACATGGGGCCGCACCTTATGGCGTTTGTTGGCTTCCCAGTAGCTATTGTTGGTTTTGCGCATCGTATAAGTAACATAGCTGAACGACATGAACCATAGCGGTGAGAATGGTGCGATTAACAAGCTTGTGAGATGACTCGTCTACGAGTCTTATCTCGCGCTTAAATAGCTAGTAGTACCGATGTAGAAGAAAAGAAATCGGGTTCGGCTGTTAAGTCTATCTCGAGACTGACCTGACAGCACAACAGATGAGACGGGAGGTTTGCTCACGGGGTCTAATGAGTGGGCTATTTCAGCCCGAAACAGAAGTATCATACCCCGCAGTTGCGCTAAGAGGTCACGACGGTTCATGGTGGGGGTTGCAGGGTTTGATAGTGCATGCAAAGCGATAAGCCCATAGGTAAGTTGAGTTAGGTTACCTTGGGGATATAGGAAACTGAACATCAACAGACGTGTCACCAGGAAGCGAGAAACAAACAGGGCAAAGAAGGTTCAATAAACGAGTGATACAGGATATGTGACTCGACAAGATATTTTCACTTTTGCAGTCTTGAAAGTTAACAAAAAGCTTGAAACTTCCCATCCAATGTTGACTTGGGCAAATCCCCCCTGGAGCAGGCTCCCTATCTAAATGGGCGTGAAATGCATGGATCCTCTTTGGTGCTAGCAGGGACCCCAGTTTAAGTGACGACAACGAGGACGGGAAAGACATCAAACACATCACAACGACCTTGAGAGGTGGTGAATAGATGATTCAAATTGCTTCATTGCTCCTGTACAAAGAAATAAAGGGCTGGAGCTGAAGCTTATAGAAGCCTATCAGAAGGAGAGTACGTATTTTAGGTTCGGGACAGCGCCATAATTCAAAGCATCTGTCATGTAAGCTCAAGCTCAAAGCGATCCACAGCTGGGCTACCTGCAGCTTGAGTGAGGGAGTGAATATCTATCTCGTCTGCCTCATCCATCCATCCTTTTCGTCCTCTTCTTCTCTAATTTCCCCTGTCCATCAACACCACCTGCTCTTGACCCTTTGAGCTGCCCATCCACTACGAAAAGAGCCTATTCTTCTGACACCAGCAAAGGGACATACAGTGAGATCTTATCAGCTTCGAAGCCCGAGCTTATCCTCACAACCCGAACCCCAGACTGTGCGCCATCATCATTCATAGTCAGCAGCCCAGCGACACATTTCATCGCAACAACACAACGCAACAGGAACCTTTGGATTTGAGTTTTTGACCTCAGCAACACGCTGGCTTCCTATTTGACCAACCTCTGCCACGTAAAGTGCACACAATAGCCAAATCTCCACCTCTTTTTGGCTGCCTTGCTCTCTGGCTATAGACAGACAGCGCCAGGCAGCGAAGCAGGCCAAGCTCAGTCTATACGCCTTCGCCAACATTGGACCTCACGGACCCGGAGCAACCTGGAACAACGATACTTCCAGACTGCGTTGAGGCCACATTTTTGTGACTCCGACTTCGCCTGTTAGTTCTCTTCTTTTCTCTCCTAAACTCAGTCTTTCCACAAACACAAAACAAGAATCCATTCACATCTATTCTTCCACAATATTCCTCCAGGCTTCCCCCCGCCATCACAGTCCTACGCAGACCCCCCTTCCCCATTATCCGGCCTTCCGCTCACCCCTCACCTTATCCTCCCACCTCATTCTCACTTGCCCCTCGCAATCCGACTTCACCTGACGCCTCATCGTATTATCCTTCGCAGGTTGCTTCTTGCTATGAAGCTTCTGATGGGATAGAACCTGATTTTACTGTATCTTCGCATCGTTATGGAACAGCAGGATCCTGATACTCCATCCACTCCCTCTGCCGTCCACCGTGATACTGAACACCGATCGACTCGCCAGTCCCCCGCGCCATCATCCTCGACGTTTTCGCTTACACCAGCTGCCCAGCGTCGAACCTCGAGCCCCTTCTCCCGTCCGACAACACCGGCAACGCCTGCTCCGAGCACAATATCATCGAATCGAAGTTCCTTGTCTACTTCCGAACCCACTCTACGGTTTCCTCGCCCCCAAGGCAATCGGCATCTCGCCAACTGGATATCGTCCAGTAATCCAGACATCATGCGTATCACCACCACCACTGAGGACACTGGCTTGTCCGAGTCCACTTATGAACTAATCTCGGGCACCGATACCGAGTCTCAGGATGGAAACTACACCGAGTCTATCAGCGAGTCTGTCGGGTCCCTCGACGTGCACTACCCCGAAGACGTCCATAGCCTAGCCGGCACTGAGCAGACGTACGATGACGAATCTCTTGCCGATGAGAACGAACCCCCCGCTTTACAATCCGTACAAGAGCCGCTTGTTATGTCTGTGTCTGAATCTATGGACATCAACGAGATTCCACAAGCAGAGCAAAGCTGGGCCTCAGTCGTCAAGAATGGCCCGCTTCCTGAGGTAGAGGCTGAAATCGAGGCAGAAGAAGAGCCCGAGCTTGAGCCTGATACCAAAGCTGAGCCTGAGTCTGAGTCGGAGGATGAAGCTCGATCTCGAAGCTCTCTTGAGTATACTCAACAAAGTCTCAAAACCCCATCGATCCCTAGCCCCGACGCTAGCATGACTGAAGACAGCCAGAAGCCGTCTCCTGATGATGTCCAAGAGCAGGCAGAGAGCCAGCGAGCGCGATTCAACAAATGGTTGAATGAAGTTCAGCCCCATACGATCCGTCCCCGGGAGGCAATGATCAAATTCGCCAAATCTATCCTCCCCGCGGTCCTCGCCATTGTCTTGATGTCGTTGATCCGCACCTGCTACACTCCACTATCGAAAGAAGTAGTACCCCACATACCCGCAGCCACCTCCGCTGTCACAACTCACCCCACTCTGTTGACTTCAAGCTATACTTCATTGCCAACATTGGCGGTTCTTTCAACATCAGCGGGACCTACAGGTCTTGTCCCTCTTGAGAATCTCGGACCTGATGAGTGGCTCTGGGGTGCCAAGAAGCCCGAGGTGACTGTCACCAGACAGCGAGGTGGATTTTTAATCCACATGCCTCGAAGTGCTAAGAAACTATGGCTTGATCGTGACTGTCTCAAGTTCGACGCCAAGCGAGGTGACCAATCTGTTGGATTTGGTACCTCATCTGTCGACGAAGGCATTCTTCTCAAGATTCCCAAGGAGGAAGCCCATGGAACAATCAAGATTGACATTTTCACTACTTGTCGACCCAAGGTTCACAAGGTCCTTCGTATCACATTCCAGAAGGGTATCATCTCAGAGGCTTTAGACTCGACCTGGGCCTTTGCACAATACTTCCCAGAACTTGTCCCCGCTGCTGCTCAAGAGGCAGAGCGGTGTCTTGAGGAAGCCAAACGCTCCCTGGGAACAGCCTCTGACAACTTCATGAATACATCTGACAGCGTCTTCAAGAACTTGGAACACAGATTCCACAAGGCCCACCGATCTTTGAGCTGGATCAAGACCGATATCAGAGACCGTGCCAAGATTGCGACAGAGGGCATCTCGAGGCAACTGGAGGCAGTTGTGGGCGACGTCAAGCTGTACATGCCTGACACGCAAGCGATGCAACAACAGGCAAAGTTGGAGTTGCTGAATGCTCAGATCCAAGCTAGGCTCTGGTGGATCAAGTACACCGCAGGAGAGAAAGAGTATACTCGCTACCAATGTGCGGCCAAGAAGTTCATGGCCAAGAAGCTTGCAAATGACAGGAAGCTTCGAAAGACAACCAACAAGATCAGTAAGACGTCTGGTTTCGAGCAATTCTTCCGTGCTTGGTCCGTAAAGAACCGTCGAGACACAGGAGAGGGACAGAGGGTATAGTGGAAGAAAAAGGACCCTGGATTGTGTGTTATGGCGCAAGGTTTTTTCTTTCTTTCTTGCCATGCTATTCCCCCTCATCACTATCATGGACGAGGACTTATATGTCAAGGATGGACTTATTTTGGCAATGCTGAGGTATGGGTTTATCTGGGCCGGTGGTGGATTTGGAGTTCATGGGTCTCATACCATCTGTAGACGTCTTTTTTCTATTATGGTTGCTCTTTCCTCGCTTTTATTTTTATGATAGTCAACGGTATCGACGGACCCCTTTCAACAGCCTTGAGTGTCTTTATATTTGGGCGGAAAGTGATTCGTTGTTGGCCTGGTGAGTTGCCTGTAAGATCAGAACAAAAAGGAAGCCAACTATAGTCAAGTAAATAAATTAATTTACTTCATCCCAGCTCATGAATCGTATCACTTATCAGTGGAAATGAGCACTGGAGTCAGTCTCCTGGCAACGGAGCTAAACAAATAAAAATATCGTGGAATTGTTGAATGGCTTCAGAACTAGATATCTGTTGCAGCGGTGTAGCTTTCTGATATAGATTCGAACAGAGGCGGGGACTCTGTTCGAAGGTAACACGCATATAATACTTTATACTTAACATGCCCTCATATTCTGAACCTCTAATATTCACGACGTCTTGTTTGAGTATTGCCGTGGTTCATAACGAGCATCCAAAATCGTGCACTTTGAGCCCCACCCAAAGAGTTACTCCACAGGCAATCTTGCAATCCCTGCCCGATCCGTTGCTTGCTTGAAGACCTAGCAGGTATCTCTGCAGCTAATAATGACCTTGGAGGTACTTCGTCAGAGCTCAAAGCGGTCCCCAATCATAAGAGCCGCAGATGGAACTTCTTGCAGCATCAGCACGGAGCAGCAGTGGAGGGCACAACAGTCCAGGGGAAAAGGAGGGGCAGTTCAGTTTTTTTTCTACAGTACCTTAGGGCGGCGGGACGGCAGCCTGACGGACAGACAACCTAAGGTAACTAAGCCCAAGTGAAAACAAATCACCAGACCTTGACCGCAACCCACTTCCACCATCTACTTTCCATACATCCATCAACACCACAGCATAAACTTTCAACACCGTCCTTTGCGTTCCCGGAAGCATCTTCCTAATTACATTTCGCTTATCTGGTAAGTCTGATCGCACCCTTTCCTCTGTCCGGCTTTTGTTACTTTCTCCCTTCCCATGAGACGCTTGGGGCAATAAAGGTCCTGAGCCCCTCCTTACCTGAGGAGGGGTAAAAGCATGCCTGCGGGACTGGGATCCTGGATACGCAAAAAAAGTTGCTGACGTCTGAGGGGCAACAGAACTTTGAGTTTACATTCTCAACCGAACACGCAAACTATCAAGATGTCTGCTTCCGAGCCCACCGAGCCCAAGGTCGAGGAGACCAAGCCTGAGGAGACCAAGCCCGCTGAGGCTGAGAAGCCTGTCACATCTTCCTCCGTCTTCTCCATGTTCGGCGGTGGTGCTAAGAAGGAGAAGAAGGAGGAGGAGGAGCGCGGTGATAACTCTGGCAGTGCCAAGGCCCAGCGAGAGGCTGCTGAGGCTGCTAAGGGTGACGAGGTACGTTCACATGTCTCAGCAGTGGCATGCTGAAACCGTATCCCCGCGAAACGTATGAGGCTAACAGGAATATTTAATTAGGAGGAGGCTCCCGAGTCCGAGGATGTCCACTTCGAGCCCGTCATCAAGCTGACCGAGAAGGTTGACACCAAGACCAACGAGGAGGCCGAGGAGCAGACCTTCAAAATGCGCGCTAAGCTTTTCAAGTTCGTCAAGGAGAGCAGCGAGTGGAAGGAGCGTGGCACTGGCGACGTTCGTCTGCTCAAGCACAAGGAGAACGGCAAGACCCGACTGGTCATGCGTCGCGACAAGACCCTCAAGGTCTGCGCCAACCACTACATCGTCCCTGAGATGAAGCTCTCCCCCAACGTTGGCTCCGACCGAAGCTGGGTGTGGAACGCTGCTGCCGATGTCAGCGAGGGTGAGCCCGAGGCTGTTACTCTGGCCATCCGATTTGCCAACGCTGAGAGTATGTTCCACCGGTCAACGAACTCCGAGTAAAGACAATCGCTAACTTATTTGTAGACGCCAACAACTTCAAGGACTCCTTCATGAAGGCTCAGAAGGAGAACGAGGAGATCTTCAACAAGGCTCAGGAGGCCGAGGCTCCCGCTTCCTAAGCAGCGTATCTCATACGACCCCTCCCCTCCCCCTGCCCCTTCGGAGATGGATCTGTATGTCGCCAGGCTCCCACTCGTTCGTAGCTCTACGGTTTACAGACGCAAGTCCACTCCAACACTCCCATACAGCATGCCACAACAGCAAGCAAGCTCCTTATACTGCTGAGGACGCTTGGCCCGTCATATATACGCGCGCACTTCACCCACGCCACAACACCAAATCCCGAGTCTGTTTTTGATATGGATAGATAGAGATTCCTAGGACGGAAAGGACTTTTTATTATTTTTGAGGTGAATGGTCTCGGTTCTGCCCCAGGGCGGATTGGTGGATGGATGGACGGATGGATAGTTAGCATCATAGGAACATCATATCACATAGCACCCTGTTGAAAGAAGTAAAAGAAAAAAAATTCCATAGACATCTTGTTTATTACTATACAAAGTAATTGTTTGTGACTCGAATTTGATGAGTTGTGGGCGGTCGATGTGGCTGATGTCGACTTTGGAACTGTGGCTGGTGTGTCTTACCGTCATGTTTGCTCTAGTCAACTGGGTGATGAGGACTCGAGTTGATTATGATGAAGAACAGTGCAGTTTGAGTGTATGTTGGATCATGGTAGAGCTCCCCATGATGATGCGCGTACCTTGGGTCTGGAGGCCAACCGTGTTGTCCTTTGTCCTTTGTCCTTTGTCCTTTGTTCGTTGGATGTCATGGAAGAACTTACATGCCACTGTCGAGATACCCCTACTGGTAGAGTACCCAGTCTACAAGCAGAGTTGGCAGTCCAGAATAGAGCCCTGAATTCGAAGTCCTCTTCTATCATATCTGTCCCCGTTGGGATATTCACGTCATTGGGAAACCCAAAGGACGGAACAGGACTGGACATGACGAGCCAAGCAAAAAGCATGGAGCCAAGGCCAGGCCAGTGAAATGCAGGTACTTAACCCTCAGGGAGAAAGAAAACACCGGATTTTAATATAAGGTGTCAAAACAAACTCAGCAAAAGATATCACAAATTTATGCAAATTCACCAAAGTCTTTTTGTCATTTAGGATCAAGGTCTGGTGTTTTCTTGCTCCCGGAGGCTAGGTACCTAGGTAGTCAAGAGCGGTAACTTTGTGGAGCAAGCGATTCAGTGTGTCCTGTGCCCTGGAACCTGGAACCCTTCCCCTATAAGCTCAAGACAGCCTGACAGGAGACAAAAACAATTCACGTCTTGATCGCTCGCGTCGAGTCTGTCTACCTAGGTAGGTATAATAATAGATCTGCTTGTTGCTTCTAGGGCCTCTCCTTGCGAACTTCTTTCTCCTCTTTCTTTCCTTAGGTAAATTGTATGCCTTTGGTACAGAGTCCATTTCAGCAATATCGTGTCGTCTGCCTTGTTAATCGTCAGTTTCACCACCTGCCTCAGCTCTTTGTTAGATTGAGGTACCAGCTAGACTTGACTGCGCCTGCCCCGGGGCCCATATCCGTACGGGCAGCCATTTCTCGCCCTGCTGCCCCGTCCAACCAGCAACCAGCAACCAGCAACCAACTGTCTCCTGGGCTGTCTTTGGCTGGTACAGGCTGGCGTGTCTCCGTTTTCCGCCGCCGTTTCGTTTCCAGTCCCATCCATTCAATTCATTTTCAACTGCTGTACCTTGCCTTGCCTCTGGTCGTCTTTGTAACCCGACCCGACGCATCACATCCTTTCCTCATCACTTGTGTGTCCCTGTGTATCCACGTCCATCTTCTTGGCTGTTCCCGTCTTTACCTTATCTTCCAAATTTGCCCTCCACGTTTGGCTACTCCCAATTGCTGTTTATTGACCCGGAGAAAAGATGTTGGTCGAGGTGAGTTTGAAAATCCGATCCAGTCCAAGCCAATCCAATCCTATCCTCTCCCCGAGTCGCATTGCCCTGCTCCTTCGACGTGTATTCGGATCGTTTTGGCCCCCTTGGGCTGTTGTATTCGTTCATGTTATTGCTTCGCCGTTTTCGCCTCTTGCTGTAGTCGCAGCCTCTTTTCTTGTCTGTCTTTGGGTGCTTGAAAAGTCCATGGTTGTGTCATGCCTGGCTTTGTTTCGCTTCACGGTCAAGTGTGTCGCGCCGTGAGGCTCTGCAAAGATTGGTCGCGGTCTGTTCGTATCTGTCTGCATCTGCATCTGCATTTGCCAGTGCTAGCCAGTGTCCGTGTCAGTGACAAACGGTGACAAGCGTCGCGCGTTGAGGTCGGACAGCCAAAGACAGATCACCTCACCGGCCATGGACGCCCATGATGCTTTCTATTTGGCAGCTGTAGTGTCCGTTGGGGCACTCAGTGGTCTCGCCTTGATGTTTGCTTCTGTGCTGTTGCACTCCTGGGAGCCCGTTTGATGCGCGTTGTTGCAGCCTCATTCTCATTATCCACCGGTTTCTGTCACGTACTTTACCACGCCTTTGTGTTTCTTCTCTATTCTCATTTCAGGCCTACACTGTGCGCCAGCGCCTCTCTAATTCACTTCATCTATTTGAGGTTTTGTGTTACCGTGTGACTTTTATTGCCTACCTAGCTTCCACGTCTCCAAACACTTGAGCACTACACCTCCAACAACTCATCATCATGGCTCCGCGCCGTTCACGAGCAGCACCCGTCAGAGTGACACTTAGAACCAAGGCTAACTTGTTGGAGCGAAAAATCAAAGTTGTCACTGAACAACAAATCATGTATGTTTGCGCCAATCTTTTCCGACGTCCCTTCTGCTTTCCTTGAATCGCGTACCTTCTCGATCAAGAGCTGCTTCAGGAGCGATTCGAGCAACCTGCTTTCAGGTACTGACAACCG